TTATCAAGTCAATTAACAGTTTTTAATAATATCATAAATATAGCTTAATTAATAATTCAAGTAATTTTATTATTGTAGAGGAGAACAATTATTTATTTTATTTTTCAGTCAATTATGTTAAATAAATTTTTTTAATAAAAAGATATTTATAATTTTTTAAATTATAAATAACAATTTATATTTTTAAAAAATGTGTATATTTGTAATTTATCCTTTGGAAAAATTGGAGAGGAGAATTTGGGAGTTTTTTTTTTTAAATATTCTAAAATTTTTTTTTTTAAAGAATTGATTCACTTTTTAAACTATTTGGGATACTAGTCTACTTTTCTAAAATTACATTTTAAAAATACAAATTTAAATTAAAATTGCATTTGAAATCGTATGTTGAAAATATAATTTATGATGAGATAGATTTCACTATTTGAAATTGTATTTTTAACATGCGATTTCAAGGTGAAATTGCATGTTAAAAATGCAATTTTAATTTTAAAATTACATTTTAAAAATGTGATTTTAAAAAGTAAGTTAATTTTTTAAATAGTTTGAAAAGTAAGTCAATTCTCTAAATTATTATTTTTATTTGTTTTTTATTTATTTTAAGAATATTAAAAAAAAACTCGGGAATTTGGGTGAACAACGTCAACCCCACGCGCCATAGAAAGAGAGTGGGAACGGAGGATGAGAGAGAGAGAGAGCATGAGCATGTGAAGTGGGGTCTGCAATGCAATCCCCATTCGGAGAAAAGCTTCATGTATACCTGTTCGGTTTCTCATTGGTCCATCGTGTACGACTGATGGGACGTCTTTCTAACATCGTACGGACCACTCCCCCCATTTTTAACAACTCATATATGCTGCAACAATCATTTAAATCATTAAAAAATATACCATTGACAACACTAATATATTGTGAATGGTAAAAAAAAAAGAAAAAAAGAAACAAGCCATAGAAAGTAGAGGGGTTTACTGTCACATCATTAGTACTCATTCTAGTATTCCATTTATAGTGCCCCAAGCATTTTTTTTATGTTATTTTTATTTGGCAGATTAGGTTTGATATAGTGCCGTTTTGGGAACCAAAATAAAAAAGTTACGTTTTCGTCAAAATGTCCAAAAATGTAAGTGGTAAAAACGTAACAAAATTGGTTTGGGAAGTGCCAAAAACGCAAGTGTGAAATTACAAATTGGGGTCTATGACAAAAAAATTTAAAAAAAAAATTTCTTATGTTGGGTAAGGGTATTTTGGTCATTTTAATTTGATTTGACACCATAAACAAATATTAAACTAAAAATTCAAAAGTCAGCTTTTTACCAACTTCCCAAATCACTTTTTAAAAAGCTAAAAAGCTTGGTAAAAAGTCAAAAGTCAACTTTTTACCAACTTCCCAAAATGAAAGAATAGTTAGTGAAAATATTATTAATGTAAAAATTATTAATGAGGGAATTAAATAAAAATGTATTCACCTTACTTGTTTCCACTTTTCAAAAAACACTTTTCAGAAAATTTTATTTTCTTATTTTTTGTGTTTTTTTTATTTTTATTGATTTTTTTAATATTTTAAGCATTTTTTTTTACTTTTTAGACATATTTAACATAAATGCATTTAAAAAGTAAAAAAGTTGTAAAAAAAATCTTTTTAAAATTCACTAAATACCAAAAATACAAAAAAATACAAGAATTTAGTACATTTTTTATATTTTTATGTATTTATTGATTTTTTAAAATATTTTTTCACAAATTTTTTACTTTTTAGAGACATCTAAGTAAGGTGCATTTAAAAAGTAAAAAAAATGTTTAAAATTTAAAAAATATTTACTAAAAATAAAAAAATACGAAAACTAAAAAAGTTAGTTTTCAAAAAACTTAATTTAGAAAACTCAAACTAAACACACTGATTTGTTTTGATGATAATATAAGAAATAGTTAGTGATGAAATTATTAAATTATTTTTACATAAAATAAATAAATAAATTATTTTCATATTAAAAAAATTAAAATAAATATTAAAATAAGCGAGTGTAATTGGTAAAAAAAAATAATATTTTATATAAAATAGACTCAATCTTATTCCTATTTCTTAATCCTACATAAAACCAACCAAATTAATCTCCTTACTGAGGGGAAGTAATAAGCCCATTGGATTATCAATTCACCTCTCATTTCACTACCAAACATGTCGTGGGTGGGATCCACAGCCATGATAGTCCAATCCGATCACTCAAACCACGAAACAAACATGGCCTTCAAACATATATTCCCTTTTCATTTAATAATAATAACTAATATCTCCTCTCAGATTTAATTAAAAAAATAACAAATCAATGATATTTTGAAAAATAATTATAAATTCATAAATTTTAATTATTAAAATTATAATTTTTTTATAAATTTGTAATTTTTTTGACAAAGTACCATTATCTTACAATTTCCCTTTAATAAAAGGGGAAATTACCTTTAAATGGTAATCTATAACAATTATTACACATTAGTTAAAAATTTATAATTTTAATTATTAATATTTACTTTTTTTTGTAATTGTTATTATTTTTAAAAATTTCACTGACAAGTTATTTCCCCTTAATAAAATTATAGAAATTATTATGTGAATTTAGAAATTTGTACAATTTTATGAAACTTAAGAAAAATTCAGTGTAATTATAATTAATTTAAAATTTTATTAAACCGAGGAAGGTCAATGTATTTTATCTTTTTTCTTAAAGTAGTTTTTTTTTTTTTTTGGGTGATAAATTACACTAATCATTCTTAATGTAAAAGAAAAAATTACAGTAAATTCTATAAATTAATATTATTGTACTAAACTTTTTTAGTTTGGTTAAAGATTATTTTGGATATGACTTACAAATTATTTTTATTACTTGTTACGAAAATACGTATAAAAAGTACAGAGATGATATATGATGGAAATAAACTAATAAGTCAATAAGAAATTTATTTTTATTGTCTCCAAAATGCAAATAGTGTATCGTTTTGAGAATTGGCTATTTTCTTTAGTTTTTTTTTAATTTTTTATGAAAAGATAGACAAAAAAGTAAAAAAGAATAATTGACTTTTTGTCTATATAAGGCCTCGTTTGGGAACAAGTTATTTTAGTAGCTTTTTGATTTTCTAACTAAAATATAAGGTAAAAAAAAGTATTATATTTGGATTGAATTTTTGATTTTTCACGAAAAAATGTGCAAAAAGTAAAAAGAAAAGAGAATTTTTTTTATATATATAATTGATTTGTTTTTTTGGCTTTTTAAATATTTTTTTGACTTTCAAATTAAAATTAAAAGTTGTCAAACGAGACCTAAGTGATTGCCAGACCAACCCTTAACATATACATTTGAGTGTGATAAAGATGTTAGCATAATTTTTTCCCCCCGTTTATATGGCTGATCAATTACTCACTAAAATGAATTAAAATTATGTGGATTAAAACTTTAAAAGTACTCATTATAATTATGCTAATTTAAAGGGACTCAATATGTGTATATATATATATATATATATGAATGGGAAGGAAAGTTGAATTCGTGTAATTTATTTATTTTTATTGGACTCTTTATCAACTTGAAGGGTTGAGTTAAGTCTTGGTGCTTCCAAAAGTCCCTACATAATATCACTCAAACTTTTATTATTATTATTTTATTTTAAAAATTAGGCCGCACCTTTTTTAAAATTAAAATTGGCTAAATATACTCTTGAAAGACTCATTTTGATCAAAGTACTTTTAACAATGTGTAGAATATCAAAATGACATACCATAAAGTTATTTATTTATTTTATTACAATATCTAGAATATCAAAATTTAACAAGTATTTTTTCCCAAATATCAAATACAAATGAAATTTGAACTGCATCAGAGAGAAGAAAGAAGATTTTTATAAAAAAATTGATAATAATATGCGTAAGAGACCTTGCCTTTTCTTTCTAATTCACTTTGATGTGAAAGAAAATTAGTGATATCTGTTAGAAACTACTTACGACCTTTTTTTGTGAGAGAGGGAAATAAATTAAAAGTTGAAAAGTGACTTTTAACCCACTTTTCAAAATGGGCTTAAATACAGGTTGGACAGCTACATTTGTACCTAATTATGACTACAAAAAATTAAAATTTTAGAAACTAAAATTTAGAAATAAAATTATTTTTTAGGGACGAAATATTTTTGTTGCAAAAATTGTTGTTATTATATTTTTAACAACAAAAATAAGATATTAGTGATGAATTATTATCCTTTTAAGACCAAATTTTTTTTCTAAAAAAATAAATCCTTTTGAGACTAAATTATTTTGTTCCTAAAAGTCTATTTATTAATGACATTTTCAAAATTTTATCAGTATAAGTCTTATTTTTGACTTTTCGGAACGGCCTTTTAACGACTATCGTCCTGACGATGAAAATTGATCCTAAATGTCTTTTACAACAAAATTTTCACTTTTAAAAACTAAAATATTTGGTTTTTAAAACTTTTTATATGTTGTAGTGTATATAAAAAAATCAAATAATAAATTTAATTATGTATAGCATTTTTTTTGTGTATAACATTTCTGTTTTACTTTTTTCACAAAATAATTACATACCAAAACACAAGTACATGACTGCAAATATTATTACAAGGGAAAATTATACCTCAATAGTATCAGGAATTTTTTTTAAGAAAATAATAAATATTATAAATACAAATAATTCAAATTAATTTATTTTTTATTTTTTATTAATGTGGAATAATTTTTCAAAATCTAACCTTAATGGTAAGTTTCCCTTATTACAACAACAACAAAACCTTGACCCAACTTTGGAAACATTTTTACCCCCTCCAATTGGACAGTAGCCAAAGTCTCTCTCTCCTTAATTTTTCCTTTTACATCTAATATTTCTCTTTTGGCTTTGTTCGTTGCGCTTACCAAAACAAGCAATGGATGAGGTTTTCCTCCCAAAACGATATATTATTATTTCTTTCCCTTTTCCTAGTGGGATCTATTTTTTTAAGAAGTTAAGAAAAGTTAGTGAGAGAGAGAGAGAGAGAGAGAGAAAGAGAGGGAGAGAACAAGATAGAGAGAGATTGTGTAGATGAAAAAGGAAAGTTGGGTGTGTCATGTGCTTGTGAAGTCTTTACCCTTCCACTGATTGTAAGCCAAAAAAAGACTGAAGAATCATTCTATCCCCACTTCACCTACTGTCCAACACCCTTTCTGTATAGAACCTTTTTTTTGGTATTCTTGGTAGAGTCTTGTTCTCACCAGATCAGACCTAAAATCACTTTTTCCCCATATTTAGCCCTATTGTCCTCACCTCGACTCACCCCTATTATCCCTAAAACCTTTTCTGGGTTTTTTTTGCCTATTTTGTAAGATCTCCTTCTTTCGTTACATACACATACACACACACACACATATATATATATATACAGTATTGTTTTTCTTGATGTTCTTCACTGTTTATGTTGTGGGTGTTGAAGATTTTTGACGGGTTTTTTTTTTGTTTTCTTGATGATTTCTTGAAAGGTGTGTTTGTGTGTGTGGAGATATGGTGAGAGGGAAGACTCAGATGAGGAGGATAGAGAACGCTACAAGCAGGCAAGTCACCTTTTCCAAAAGGAGAAATGGGCTTCTGAAGAAGGCATTTGAGCTCTCGGTTCTCTGCGATGCTGAGGTTGCTCTCATCATCTTCTCTCCTAGGGGAAAGCTCTATGAATTTGCTAGTTCAAGGTATGATTTATATACATACATATATACATATATATCTATGTGTTGAATTGTTTTTTTGATGGTATGTATTTCTGTTTGTGTGTTGATTTTTGGTGATTCCTAGGTTGTGAGAGCATTTTTCAATATTTATTTATTTATTTTTGTAAAAAGATTGAAATTGTTTAGCTAAATGTTGTTGGTTTAGCGAACAATTTCATAGATGAACTCTCACCTCTAGTTTGCATCAATATAATCTTTATTTTGCCCATAAAAAATTTTACAAAAAATGTTGTGGGTAATATGCTTTTGAACTGAAGTTATGCATCTGGTTCAAAAAAAAAAAAAAGAACTGAAGTTATGCATATTTAATCCCAAGGGTTACATGATCTGTGACAATCTCTCTCTCTCCCTCTCTCTCCCTCTCTCTCGTGTTGAATCAGATCTACTTTTGTTTCTGAGAAGTATATCTTTGTTCACTGGGGAACTGACAATCTTACAACTATTTTTCGCATTTCTAAGACAACCTCATCAATATGTTTTGCTGTTCTTCTTTCTTTCTCTCTTTCTTGCCTTTTCTTTCTAATTCACTTTGATGTGAAAGAAAATTAGTGATATCTGTTAGAAACTACTTACGACCTTAATCAACAATTAGCTTTGATTGATTTTCATGAAATGGGTCCAATGTCATTCATGGGTTTTGTGTCTTTTTTTGTGCTCATTTCGTAACGCCTTGCGATCTTTGTAATGATGCGATATAGTCAAAATTATAATAACAATCACATTGAATCGTTAGGATCATGATTTTAAATATCGACTGTTATGTAACAGGATTTTAAGATCATGATTTTAAATATCGACCGTTATGTAACAGGGTTTTGAACTTTTGATGTTATTCACTGATATATATTGTTTGATATTCATTGATATATGACCGTATCTTGATATCAATATTTAAAACGATGATTACAAATTTATGGCTCAATATGATTCAGTTATACTTTTGAACACATTGCGTCATAATTTGAAGTACATCACATCATAATCGAGGAATGTACACTAAAAAATTTTGCTTTACATTTGTTCAGGGGTATACTGTGGATTCATACATTGAGTTTAAAACTTTGGCTTTTATGTTTGTGGGGGTTCAAAATATTGTACATGTGAGAAGAGACTTGAACTTGATACATAGGTTTGTGATTGAAAAAAGTAGGCAAAAGAAAATTGTACTCCAATTTGAGTATATGGTGGAGCTAAGTGTGAATAAAGTGGGACACTGACATATGGGTCAGTTGGCAATGGTAACTGAGCTGTTCAGTTTTATGCTTTTCAAAGTCCATGCTCTTCAACTTCTCAATTTTCAGATTCTCTCTATTTTTAGGTGAAATAGAGATCTACATTTCATGATCAATAGTAGTAAAAAAAAAAAAATCACATAGTTAAATCTTTATTTTAAGTAAAAAAAGGGGAGATTTTGAACTTACAATGATGTGATAGACGATGTTGATTTTAAATTTTGATAATCTATCGCAACATCATAAAATGAAATGAAATCTCTATTAATCTATAAAATGGAGAAGGTCAAAATCCCATACCCATGGAAACATTTGGTGGAATTAGACATACAACCATTGCAGTCCCAAATCACAGTTCCTCGTGACATTTTCAGTGAGTTAAGACCCATGTCCTTTCACTTGAATAATTGTCTTTCCAAACAGTTCCCTAGAGAGAGAGAGAGAGAAGTCATGGAACTCTAGGTTAAAACTCCATCCTTTTTGGTGTAACTAGATTAACTATTTCTTCCCTTGGTTAACTGTTGTAGTCCAACTCAAAAATCATGAAGATTTGGTTAAATCCTTTGAGCTTGATTTCCTAATTCTTCTCTCCCCTTTTTGGAGAGATTGCTTATATTCGAAGGCTAAGGTTTTTCGGTTAGCATTTTGGTGGTGTGGGTTTGAGTAACGAAAACAATCTTTTAAAAAATAGAGTAAGACTTTGTATATATTGTACTCCGTTAATAAAAAAATTCCTTTGCTGATAAAAAAAAATTATTGTACTCCACAATTCTTGTACATTAAATTGTCTTTATTATGTCATTACTTGAACCCTCTTGTTCATGCAATGCATTCAAATTAAATCAACTAGCTCTTCCTTTATTACTAGGGTTGTGTTTGGCAGTCCCCATTATTGCTACATTCCTATTAAGGAGGGGTTATTTGGTGGTATTAAAGTATTGTTCTACACTATTCTTTGTTGAAAATATGTCCATTTGTCTCCCAAGAAGAAACATAAAAGTGTTAGGACACATTGTTTCAACCAATACCCAATCAAATTGGGGCACCAAATGTACTTGCACCAGGAGCACAATATAATTTTCCCAAGACACAACCGATGAATAGAATTTACTAGAGCATCATACAAGCTTTCCTCTTATTTATTTATTTATTAATTGTAACGTTTCCCTTTTGTTTATTTGAATTGTACCTTGATTGTTTTCTGTGTCAAAATGCAACTTATGTGTTACATATTTTCAATTGAAACTGTGTTTTAGGATGAGTTATGAGGAATACATATTCTCATGTTGTAGGCATACATAATTTTCATATATAGAATACCTAAACAAACTTTTAATTAGTGGGTTCCAACATTAGGTTTTTGAATTGGAACTTTGAATATCTGAAGTTACAACATGTTTCCAACTTAATGTGGATCAAAATGATGCATGACCACATTTTTAAGACCTAAATATATGTTAGTTTTATGTTATAGGCATTTTTTTTTATATAGAAAATCTATTTTAGAAGATTTCTCGCAAAAATTTAAAACAACAAACTATGAAATCCATTATGGATGAATGAGATAAGTGGAGGTAGTAAAACATTATAACAAATCTAGTGCAATAGGTATCGTTATATTCGCAAGTGGTGTTTGGAACATCAATGGTAGTTGGCCACCATGACTCTCCTAAGGGTTAGTCCTAAGGGAGAGGTCGTGAGTTCAACTCTCCCCAAGGATGAATTAGGAGACAAGCACTTAGTACTTTGCAAGGATGGAGAGGCTAACTCCCATAGGTGTTAATTTAACAACGAATAGCTGACTTTTGCCGATCAAAACAAAAATGTTGGTAGTTAGAGAAATGCTATATGTCGCCAATTTTGTATCACCCATTCTGCACTGTTGCCTACATGGATACTTATGATTAGTTCCCCTTGTTTGAATATAATATTAAGTAATTAATGCAAACAAATGATATCTTTTCATGTAGGACGATGATCTAAAATGGTGAAAAATAGGTGATATATTGCAGTCTTGTGGTAGTTATTATTGGAACTAACTAAATTCAACTTTGCATTGTCTAAACTACTTAGGACCAGTTAGATGAATCTTGTTTCGCCAAGATTTCATAAGCTAACACTTCTTTTATCTAACCCATTTAATTTTAGTGTTTCTTGTCTCTTATTATTACCCTCTGTTAGGTCCCTACTTGTTGTCAATTCTGCGAACAAACTCAGTTTTATAGAGTTGTAATTTTCCTTGGTTTTGGTCTTCCAGCTCGAGCGGGAACATTTGCGCTCGAGCGGAGGATGCACCTTCTCAATAGTTGGGCTTGTCTGCACAAATAGTGGGAGGCGTGTTTTTACGCTCGAGTGTGAGTTCTAGCGCTTGAGCAGAGACCTGTTTTATTCGCACGCGTTTTAGTGACTCCGCTCAAGCAGCAAGTTCTGCGCTCGAGCGTGGTACGCGGCCTTGTTTTCTATATATATGTGTTTAAGTCATTTTTTAGGGTTAATGCTTCTAGATTTGCTTTGGGGGGCTCTAGGGATTTCTTTTGAGACTAGTTTGCTAGTTTTTCTTTGATGCTTGCTTGAGTATTAAACTCACATGGTCGGATAATACACATCAAAGGGTTGTTTGAGTGATCATCTTCAAGAGTGTGTTTCTTTGGTGGAATCCGGAGATTCAAGCGTGAAGTGTTCGAAGGAGTTCGAAGCTATGCACGGTCATTGAGTTGACGTGGATGTTGTGGAATCAACATCAATCAAATCAATCATGAGACGAAGGTTGCAGTGGAAGATATACAAAGCGTTGAAGACAAATTGACAGAATTTGGATAATTTGTTTTAGTATTTTGTATTCTTTGTTTCCTTCATAGTGGATTGTTTTGAGTTGTTTCACCCGTGATTTTTTAATCACAATTGGAGGTGCTCTAATAGTGATTTTTTCCACGTAAAAATCGTTTGTATCTATTTATTGTTTCTAAAATAACAATCTAAATCACTTTCGTACGTGCCTAATAATTAAAATTGTTAGTTTTAATAGTTTGGGAATTGATACAATTAATTCTTGATCTAATCATGAATCACTTAGGCTTTTCAATTGGTATCAGAGCAGGTCACTCTTTATTTTTATCAAAACTATAGGAGTATGATTTTGTGTGATTGGTAATATGGATTCAATTCGTGAAAGTAACTCGACCCATAGACCTCCGTTACTTGATGGTACAAACTATTCTTATTAGAAAGCTCGTACGAGAGCGTTTTTAAAATCTATCGATGAGAAAGTTTGGCACTGTGTGATCTATGGGTGGAGTGAACCTGTTGTCACCATTGATGGTGTTGATATTCCCAAACCTCTTGATAAATGAGACGCATTCGATTATCAAAATTTGAGTTGGAATAGTAAGGCTCTCAACTCCTTTTGTTCCGTCACACCTAAAGAGTTTCGACGTATTTGTACTTGTGATGTAGTAAAAGAGGCTTACGATATCCTTGAAACTACTCATGAGGGTAGTACTTCTGTTAAAAGGTCAAAATTTCAACGTCTCACATCTGTTTTTGAAACTCTTTTTATGCGTGATGATGAGATGTTTAATGATTTTTATGCAAAACTTAGTGACATCGTGAATTTCTGTTTTACACTCGATGAAAAAATCCCTGAAGCTATGGTTGTTGGGAAAATTTTGAGGTCTTTACTCGTGAGGTTTCAATCAAAAGTTACAGCTATTGAGGAGGCTTAGGATGTTG